TAAAAAGGTCATATGGTATTACAATATCAACTGAGTTGATCACGTACGTTAATAAGAGGTTGAAAGCTGAAGCTTCGAGTGTTAGCCCTCCTTCGAAGCAAATGGAGTAACTGTGGGTTGTGCGTGTGTTTATGTGCGGAAAATGGAGGAACATTATTGGTGGGAACACGATCACCAGAAAAATAATAAACTAGTTGCATGAAAAGCACTCGTTGATACCATGGAGATTAAGAGTGTCGATTTGACAGATAAATTTTTGTTCTAGAGTTTTACGGCTTCTGCCTAAATGTAAGGTAAGGCCGCAAACTGCTAAATGCTGCTTGCAATGAGTAGCGAGATTAAAGTGTTTAGCTACTAGTTTGGATGCTTCTTTGTCATTTCTTTCTACGTCGCGAAGGTGTTCTCGGAATCGGCTACTTAATCGTATTCTGTTTTCCAATGTACAGTTTTTTTAAAATAAGCTAAAGTTATGCAATAGATTGCATTGGCGTCAGTGCATGTGAAGTGATCAGTAATCTAATGAATCTCTTGGGACCCGACATTTTCTCTAAGTCAGGAATGAAAGGACAGGTTTTGTGACGTGAGCGAGTGCATTTGAGAGTTCCAGTGTGCTCCCCGGTGCATGGGACAGAAGGATCGACGATAAATAACACCGGACAGCACAAAAGCCAAGGCGACAGCTCGACGAGGTCGGCTGCTACGTCTACTGACTTTAGTAACTCCTATGCAATACCTCAAAAATTAAACTAGTGGGCAGCACTCTGCGTACAGTAGTTGTAAAACTTCTTTATTCTGCGACACGTTTCGTCTAACTTTCGGAGACTTCTTTGGGGGATTTTACACGTTACCACTATACGCCTGTATTTATAAGCCATAGTTAGCGGCTACACGAGGGGCCAGTGACTATAAAGGTTTAGCTAAATAAATAAACATAAAAGGGCAAAAATATGAAAATTTTGAACATTTTTATGGGCAAGGTGAGGAAAATATTTGGGGGCCAAGGTTTTCGCTAAAACCGTGACCCCCACAAGAAGTACAAAACCAAAATAAATCTCCAATACCAACGCCACAATAAGGACGAGACATTGCCGTATTGAATGTTAATCTATGGATGTAATCATTTGAATTTATAAAATTCCAATTTTGTCCAAGTTTTGGAGATATAATTATTTTTTTCTTTTGGAAACGTTAGGTAAAATATTTGAATTCAGTTTAGTCAAATAAAAGAAAAAAATTTTTTTCGGCCTCTGAAGGTGGGAGGTAACCTTAACCTCTTAAGCTAAATACGCCCGCGCTATTGGGGGCCTGAGGCAATTTTTTTCTTGCATTGGCTAAACTTTGTTTATGCATTGACAAAACTTTGATTTTGTATCAATCGCGAAGTTTGTTATTTTATTGTAAACATATAGTTTAGCTTCATGAATACAATTATTTTGTATCGAATAATTTCGTTTTGTACTGAAAAAAAAAAGTTTTAGTGCAGTGGGATCTTTTTTATTACACTAAACATTTGTTTTTTCTTTGTACCAGGGGGCAAAAAGCAAACGATTAATTCATGAAAGCGTTACGCGTTGTGTGACTCGGTGTTATGTTACGAGAGGATCGTTTGAGAATTTGAATACGTCATAAAGAATAGTATGGGGAGAGAAATATGGTCGATTTGTAACGATAAATATTGCAAAATATGAACATTTTACACGTAAAACCATTAGAATTTACCCACATTTTGTGTGTCCGTTGTAGTATGCGGCGTTCTCTGCCGTTTTAAGCTTGTTTTGCCATCACTGTTATTACTGTTGTAAGATGAAAATAACAGTCACTGTGACGGCTACACACTGAACTCGAAATTTCTCGTTCTTTGTGAGTGAATTCGTGCAGGTAAATCCCGCTAATTCACTCACTGAGTGCGTTAACCTGTACATGAAATGTACTGGAAAAAATATCACAAAAAGTCAAGACAGTCAAAGTTTTGAAACTGTGCGCGCGCTATTTGTAATTTTTTTATTCATGTCACAACTTTGCCCTTGCGTTATTTGAGACTGTGCTCGTTTTCAGCCAATCAGAAACGCGTAATTTATAGCTAATCATTGTTGGAGCCTAGAGGATTAGGGATGCATGAGGCTTTAGAGCTAGCTCTTTGAATTATTATATTTTTATTTTTATTATTATTTGTTACCATTTTATTGTTGATTGAATTTCAATTAGGGCATATAATTATTATTGAATCATCGTTCTCTTGTGGAACGAATAAAAAATGGCGTGAGGAAGAATCTGGTACTGACGTATGTCGATCTGCCGGTGAATCGCCAATATTTGCAAAGGTTGGGAAACAGTATAATCGCTGATCTTCTGGGATTTTCCCGACACATTAAACCAGGCTTTAACAATCAATGTCTTTCAATCTGGAAATTTTTTGGTTCAATCTTTTAGTTTTTCTGGTTGGAAGCGATGCCGCCCTTCCTGATGTGGGCACCTGTACTTTCATGGAGTACTTCTGCAGTGCTCGTAAATGCAGTACTCTTTTTTATAAAGCTTTGCAGAAGGACTCGAAGGCAAATTGTGTGTAAGTAGACTCGAGGAATGTTGGTTCTTTAGGACCTTTGCAAGGTTTCAGTGAACGCTAGTTACCGGTGGTTCACCGCTGGCCGCCTAGAAGACCTTATCGCTGTCTGTTGATCTCGTGTAGGGTTTCGACCGAGTAAGTTTCGATCCGGTAGCGGGTCTTGAAATGAGAGCCTCCCCGCAAGGCATTGATATGTTAGGAAGTATTTAGTTATTTTACAATTATTTAGTCAGTTCACAATGACTTAATCTTTCGATTACATACAAAATGTGTTTAATATATGAATCTGAATTCCGAGGTTATTTAGACCTATTAACGTCACACAAAATTCCGATCGTCCAGGAATAACAGGCAAATTAGGGAGAAATGAATTAGAGAGGTGTATAAAAAAAACCATCATAAACAGCACTCTTAAGATGCCTAAAATGCTAGAGTTTCTAGATTTCAAACTTTTCAGAGGGAGCACGCCCTCAGACCCGCGCGCACACCCTTTCCCCCCTTCCCCCAACCCCCACCCCCTGTAGTTGGTTATTTTCAGGTCACTTTTCTCTTCTCCATCCTCGGCCATTCTACTTGGTTGGTTATTGTAAGATTTTCTTTCGCGCCTAACTTTTTGTTGATTTTTTTTTCTGTTTGTTTGTTTGTTGTTGTGGTTGTTTTTTCTTCACGTTGTAGGAAGTTTTCCGTGCCGATTTAGCTTGACTGGTAAACCAGTCATTTGAAGTTTTTTTGGTTTATGGATTTTCCATGTTACAGCGTAGAGCTTAGCAAACCGAAGAATTGTGTGGTCGATCTGTGCAGGAGATGTATTGTCCGAAAGCCAGATCAGAGGAATCGTTGACAGCGCCGTCAAAGAAGAACTGCAGTGTATGGATGGTTCTTTGGAAATCCCCACCATGCCAACGGCTAATTCGCCTTGTTCCGCCTCATTCAGCAGCAATGCCAGCACTTGCATTCGATCCTTTCACCAAAAATTTGTTGAGGACAAATTGGATCCCGCTCTATGCTCGTAAGTTTAATTGAATCAATGTCTTTTCTAATTTTTTATGTAGGGGGAAGGGGAGGGAGGGGAGGGAGGGGAGCGAAGGAGCTTGATGCTAACCATGCATCCAAGGAATAGATGCGGTTAACTAGCAAAGAGTCGAACAACTCTTCAAAACGTCAATTTAAAGTTAAGCATTACAATAAAACCCAACCTGAGGAACTTTAAATTTTTCGATCGTGGCTGTTTTTTTTCTCCCTTTTAGGAGTAAAAAGAAGCAATCTCGCATTATCATCTTCGCCATCACTTCCCCCTTCCTTTAATGTTATGTTGTTGTTGAATTTTCGTTGACCTGCTGTCGTCTTAGACATGGAAAAATGGACCCCCTCTTCCTCCTTTCGAGGTTTGTTTGATTTCTCTGACAGTTCACCGGTACCTTTTTGCACTCCTGGGTGGACAGGGGCGACGTGAGAAGAAAGTGTCTTCCTTAAGGACACAACACAATGACTGGACGAGGTCCAGACACTGATTTCCTTTCTATTCAGGGAATAGCGCACCAAACAGTGTGCTACCATTTTACTCTCTAGAGGAACTTCTTTCTTTCAGTAATCTTGTGAATTTTGTATTTACCAGGGCACAGGCTGAAGCGAAGAGGTGTGTAAAGAAGCTGATTGATTCTGACTGCAACTTTCCCTCTCAGGCCAAGGAAGTGCTGGACTTGGGTTTCAGTGACTATAATCCTTTCTACGCAGACAATCGGGACCCTGGGGCGACCGGAAGTGATCAGTGCGATGGGGTGCAGGATAAAAGCGGCGATGGACTGAAATATTTCGATGCAGGCGATGGAATTAAGCCCGGCATACTGCAGGCGCTGATGTTTACTTCCTTTTCGTTGTTTTCCTTTTTTTAAACGTAAAAAGGCTCAAACCTCTAGTTCATTTTGATTTACAGAAGAGTTTCTAGACTGTGGCATTTGACAATTGTCAAAGGCATGATACATTCATGTGTTTTCGTTCAATTTGTGTTGTTGTTTTCTTTAGTTTCTCAGGGAATAAATCATCACTTATACTGCGGGGTTCTCGCATACAAACAGATATTTAAGATTACACATTTTATCGGATAATTTCGCAATATTTTGAGGTCTAAATACAATGACAATTTCAAAATAAACCTTACGCAAGCAGAGAAGTTTATTGGTCTATTTTGTATTATTATTCAGATAAAATCTTACACCTCTCTTATTTTATCATCGCCAAATTTATCTCAGCGAAAACTGCGGCGAAAAAAACCATTGACCTCTCGCCAAAATCGTTTTCTCGGACGTCAAAACAACTCTTCGCTATATATTTCAATTCCTTCCAGCAACTTGCAATGTTTGCCACCCGGCGATCCCAGAAACCTTTGCGCATAATTCGATTTCAAGATCTCAAATATTTGACTCGACTAGACGCGTAAACAGGGTGGGACTTAAAATAGAAAGCATCTGTGCAGAAACCAATTCTCCAACAGACTGGATCAAGATGATTTTCTTCTGCATTTTATTTGCATTTGGTAAGTTAGTTCGCCCTTGGAAACAGTTTTCAAAGTATCATTGTCGTGTTGCATTGGCAGGTAGGGCATATAATTGAAAAACTGAGAGGCGATCACTGCGTGCAAGCGAAGGAACCATAGTTTGCATTCGAATTTGTCACTGTGATATTTTTCTCATCCGTTTAAGTAATAATGTTGACTTCTTTACCGTCTTTTCTATGATTTCGTTAGTTTGATGGTTTCGTTTCTAGTTTTTCAATCGATTTTCTAGTTTTCTTTAGCAGAAGATGTGTAATGTTCGTCGCGCTGAAACGTGGAGGTTGTACTAATGTTTTTACCTGTCTCGCTCGTTGCGTATTTCACTCACACTATTGGCAAAGTTCCTGTTGTCGATCCACCAGAATTTCAACATTTTTCTTTGTTGTTGATAAACTTCCTCAGACCTTCCTTAGAGCGATCGAGATTTCGCAAATCGGAGTAATTCTTCTCCTTTGTTTTTGGCAACTGATGTCGAAGGAACGAATCTTAAACTCGCATATTTGAGAATCGTTTGGCTCGTTTTTTACTTCAATTTATTGTAAACACGTATGTACTTAATTTTCTACAAAATTTCATTATCTTGGTACCTTTGGAAAGCGTAGAGTATCTTTTTTCCTAGTTTCCTTGGGCGTCATTTCTTTCCGCGAAGAATGCAAATTAAATATGGCCTCTTATACACCTCATGGTGTATTTCATTACAGTCTGTGGCCCATATAGGGTCATATATGCAGTGCTCACTTCCAAAAGGGGCATTTAATCGTTCCAAAACAACGTGCCAATTATATTCACGGCAAAAGTATCTTACCGAGGTGACAACAACCCGAGAAAGATCCCTTGTTCGCCATGAAGACGAGACAATACTCAAAGATAAAGAGGGAAACGAGCCAATCTATGCTGAGGAGAACTGAGTCAGTATTGTTAATTCAGTTAACTGAACTAGTCAAGTCGTCCGAAAGTCATCTCTCCCAGAGTTCGGTCACCCGAAACTAAATTTATTTCACCCGAGAATATAGACCAGGTTTTCAGACTTTAATTTGGCAACAAAGTTCAGAAATCTTTATCATTTAAGTTGCAGTTTCCGTTTCTGACAACAACTGACAACAAATCCACCGTTGTTCGCTTTTTATGAAAACAAAGAACAGAAGGTTTGCATCAAACGTGACCTTAACATCGCGTGACCTATGAAGACTTGATCCACACAGTAAACAATCAGAATTCATGAGATAGAATTAAATAAACAGTTGAACGGGTCGCGTTAGAGCGAATAACAATATTATCAAATTACTCACGAGTCAAAAATTGGAAATTTTTTTCTTTCTTTTTCGGTGCGACGCTTGCACCTCTAGAGCTGGCTAAAAAAAAAAAAAAAAAAAGCTCAACTGCGACCTCGGCCTATCTTGGATATATATATGTGTCACTTGTAATTTTGTATTTCACCGTGACCTTTGTTTGCAGTTTGACATTTGGGTGTCAAGTCGTATTTGTTTAGGAAATAGCGTGATTTCTAAAATAATTTTTTTTTATGCAAAATAGGCTATTCTGGGATCCGCCTAGCAACTGTTAACTGTAAGAGAAGAACTGAGTTCGTGCCTACAGTACGATCTAGGTGTTGCCGATGAATTATCTTTTTGGCACTTTCCAGCGTCCAAATTGCATCGCGAGCGTAACCTAAGACCCATAATCTGACCTCTCTTGTCATAATACGAATGTTTTCCAGATGAGGACACGCGCTTGCATGCATTTTCAAGGTTAAACCCTCGCGTGGAACTAACCACTCATGTGTACTTCAAAGCGCACAATGTATGCCAAATAAATTTCACAGATTAACTCAATGATAGGATTCTTTTTACAAAGAATAATAAAGGATCGACGCCGACCTGAAGCGTCGGCTTCACTTGCGTTGAGTCAAACATTTTCCCTAGCCCCTCGCGAAACGTACAAAGCAAATTTGCTGATCCATTCTATTGATATACACAACTCGAAAGTAGTTGAGAATTGAGAGGGGTAAAGTTTTGCTCCAAAACCTTTTCTTTTTTCGATTTTCAAACGCTGACAAAAATGTAGTGAAGTCCACTCCGGAAGATAACACCACAAACAACAACAAGTTTTAACCGCGATGAGAACACTCATGGATCGCAGAGCGTAGCAGAGCTCGAGTTTAGTTTTGTTTTGTTTTGTTTTGTTTTGTTTTTTTCTAATATTATTGGCTTGTAAATAAATATATGACGAAGATTTTTGCACCCATCGCCTGCAGCACATAATTGGCTGAATACTAAGGAAGAAAAGTACTTTAAAGCGATCAATAAAGGAGTAAAATCTCAGTTTTTTTTTTTTTTCTGTTAGGGTTTCCTGGCGCCCCGCTGCGAACACTGCTAATTAAACGCATTAGACTGCGACAAAATAAACATAGACAAGTAAAAAAAGTATCAAACCTCTTTTACAATCCATGACCGACATTACATCTCGTATCTCAAGTTGATTTTAAGCAAGGGAAGTTATCACTGTTGAGAGTGGAGTTGGAAATGTAAATACAATGGAATACGTTACAAGAAGACGTATTTTATCGTTGTAATTTTATTCTTAAATTCATTTTTGCTTTTATATGAAACATCTACGAGAATTGAGGACAGACACCACCAAGACAAAACCAATATCGACCGAAAAATTACCAGACAGCTAGTCAACGAAACGTGCACTTACTATATGGTGTTGATTCAATTCGAAATGGTTGGTCATCTCTACAGGAGAATTAATTTTTCTAGTGAAAACTAACATGGGTTTTTCATCAAGATTTTTCAAGGTTAACGAAAAATTAAATCTGCAAAGGAAAAGATATGTTAAATCAAGACAAGTAAATTTAACCTTGTCGAGATTCATTCGTTTATTACACAAGAAATGTGTAATCAAGAAATCTACCCAATCGGTTCAAGTGTTAAATGATACTCCTGTATCTCTAGAATCTAATGCAGTCGAAATCTGTCTCGAAAACAAGGTCCTTGCCGAGCGGTTCACCGGCCTCCCTGCTGACTCGGAGTCAAAGGTCTGATCAGAGTGGAATGGTTGTTAGCTAACACAATGTATTTTTGGCATTGTCGTGGCAGAACAGATAATCGCTCTTTGTGTCACAAACCAATAAATCTGTAGATCATAGGCAGAACACGCCGAGCACAACAACTGTTGCTTGATTTTCACGTCACGCAGTTTAAACAGGCAATTCCCAAATGTCATGACACGTTTGGGTTTAGCTATGCCGTGCCTGTCGATGAATCATTCTGCAATTGTGAGAATTTTCATTCATGCTATGACTGCGTAATTATTTCCAAAGAGAAAATTGTTAGTCCTAAATTTACGTAGCAAGCCACGCAGATCCACGCGCCTGTTTACATTTTAATTGTCAACTAAAATTAATTCACGTTCGAAGCCAAACACCTTTATTGCATTTACTAATTGAGTGCTCTCGCTTTTCTTTAACAAGCCTATGGATCATTTTACGCTTCCCTGGTGAAGAATTTTTTCCTGAGCAAAGCTCGTCATGATTTTGCAGAAAATTGTCCACTCTCGGGACTAATGTCACTCAGCACACTTCTATTCTAATGCGACCTCTCGTTAGCGAATCTTCTAAAACATCAAAGACGCCGGTCTCACCAATTTTCCAAATCTCGAAAAAACAAAGCCAAATCTGTCAACGGTTGAAAACATTGTCCCCCAATATAGACGGCAAGGTCACGAAAGAGAGCGCGAAATCTCATCATTTATACTGAAGTTTTCATTGCGTGCAGATCGAAGCTACGGCAAGGAAAGGCGCGATTTTACCTTTCTTTACTACGGCGATCAAATGCAAAGGAGTGACTAGTATTCCTTCCTTCACCACATACAACCTCATTTTAGCCTGTTGTGAGCGCCGAACAAAGAACGCGAGAGTCACTCGCCATCCAGCTGTAGAAGCCATCGAGCTAGTGCAAGTGCTTCCAGCCAGTCTCTAGAGTCTCCTTGCACATCCACAAGCAGCTCTGGTGACTCTCCAGATGCTGTTTCAGCTATTATAACGGATCAGCAAGGAAAAAGGCTGGAGATGGCGTGACACCTTGTCACGTTCAAGCAGTCTGGTGGTACTTCTGTTGATGAAAGAAGGTCAGAAACAAAGAATATATAGTAGCAGAAGAAAAGAGAAAGAAAGAGAAGAGAACACAAAAGGAAACTGGGTACGAGGACGAGAGCTCGGAAAGAGGAAAAAGAAGACGAGGAAAAGCAGAAGTTTAAAGTTGCTTTCTCAGAAATGGAGAAACAGCGAAAAAAAATTTGCTCATTTATGGCCAACTTTACTCGAGTACAAGAGCAGCAAGCGTACACCATGAACGTGTTAATAATAGTACAGACCCAATATTTGCAAAACGATATAACTGAAAATCATTGTGGACCTCTAGGTGACATCGAACATTAAATTTGATAAACGTTAGTCAAAATTTAACAAGAATAATAATGAAACATTTATCATTAATGCGATTATACGTATTTTTTTTATTCTCAACGTTGAAAAATTTTCTTGATAATTACAGTCAGTTTGTAATATGCGAAAGTGAGTTTGTCTCCAAGGTACTGGTTATGATAACCTATCAAAATAAAATTCAAAATAATAGACAGAAGACTGTTTAGCCTGAAACGAAGTGCATTTGGCGGTTTATTTCCAGGTAGGCCGTGGTCGTCATCGTCTTCATCATCATGTTCGTCCCATGCATCGTTATTTCGCAGAAAATACTGTGCAGTGCCGCACAGGCTATGGCAGCTTTAATGTCGAATTCAATATTGCTATCAAAGCGTTTTTGTAGAATCCCCCATCGATTTTTCATCATGCTAAAGGCACATTCCTCTTGTACTCTAGCAGAAGAGGATTTCTTGTTGAAAACAATTTCGTCTAGATCTCTAGTTCCATTTCGGGTAAGGTTTCATCAGCCAAGGACTCAGAGGGTACGCATTGTCCCCAACAAGGTAAGGGGTGATTTCTCTACCTGCCATTTTTACCGAATTCGAAGGTGCGGTGAGAATTTCCCCTTGCTTTACTCTTCTGAAAATCGCACTTCATCGCAATACCCTAACATCGCGCATACTTCCAGGAGATCCACAAGCGAAATCCGGGAAAATTTTGTTTCCATTTACAACAGCTTGTATCATGAAATCGTGCTGTTGGTACCGACTGAAGAAGTCAGCTGCACTGCCTGGTGGCGCTTTGATCCTGACATGGAAGCCGTCAATTGCGCCTACAATGTTAGGTAGCGAAGACAGTCCTTCGAATGATTGAATTGATGTGGTTATATCTACAAGGTTCTCAGGAAATAAATGCGGTCATCCCAAAGTTCATAAGGAGAGCCTACTACATCTTGTGCAGCTTCTATGACGGCTGACTTTCCAATATTGATGGTAGCTCTATTAATTCTAAGCCGCTGCCGGAAAAAAAAATCTCTGGAATGGTGCAATCATAATGTGTCTTAAACCACGATCCGTTCAGACTTGTAGGCGACATGGCGCTCGTCGTGGTCGTGGCAGCAACGATTTCGAGTTCGCAAGAAGGCAGCCGCAAGAAGTAATCTGTTGCGTTCATTTACCTGCAAGCTATTGAGGGCTAGGGTTTAATTGTCCCAGTCCCCCCTCCCCTCTCCCCAGGTGCTTAGTTGAGGCTATGTCAACACGGAAAAAGACCTCTAGTGTTCACATATGAAACATTTCGCCAAATTGGTAAAGCCATTGACAACATATTCAGTTTAACTGTTCGGCTGTCTTGAGAAAATCTCAGATCTCGGCATACCTGTATTAACCTTCCTACGTACTCGTTGACATCACTCTGGTTAATTAGTAGTCAACAATTAATGTATTTCAATTGAAAAATTTTAATTTGCATTTTGTTTTTTGATTTTACTTTTCTGATTTGCTTTTTTACAGTTTTTCTCGTTGGAAACGATGCCGCTCTTCCTGACGTGGGCTCTTGTACTTTCATGGAGTACTTCTGTAGTGCTCGTAAATGCAGTACTGCTTTTTACAAAGCTTTGCAGAAGGACTCAAAGGCAAACTGTGGGTAAGAACATTTAAGAGTGAACGTTCTTAAGGGCATATGTATACCAAATACCGAACAGCTGATTTTCCACATATTTGTTGCTGCTGTTTTTCATTTACAGAGCTTCATTGCCAGGTCGGATTTGTTTCTGTAGTTTCTAATTGTCTTTACTCCTGTCTTTCCTTCGCCATCCTGATTTCTTTTAGTTGGTGATTGTCGTTAGTTTTTCAGTTTATCTCCACCTAATTTTCTTTTCTTTTTTCAAATAAAAAACCAATATTTTTTCTAAGAGGGGAACGGTAACGATTCCTGCAATCTGATTGGCTTTTAGCTCGGTCCGTATTTTCCTATCTCTGCCCACGGGCACGATAACGCTTACGTGAGTCGCCGAGAACATCCCTAGCTTTGTAGCCATTTTTCACAAATAAATCTCGTTTTTCCGGCCGGGCAGTATTTTTAAATGAAGACGTCGGTCACTACCTCAAGTCGATAAAGAATTTATTAATCTTCTCTTTTCTCACGCTCGAATCACTTTGGTTGACAGAAAAATACTACCGGTTTCGACATAATTTGTATTTGCAAAAGTGTCATTAAATTGGTTGACAAGCAACCTAAAAAACCGTCTATAATTAATTTCAATCCTCCAAAAAAGTACCTAGAAAGTTAAGACGTGAGGTATTTGGTTACAAGTGAATTAATTGATGGAACGTTCATTCATTTAATATCTATCTTTATAAAATAATTCAAATAGTACGCGCGCTCTGATTGGCCATAAAACCATTTTACATGAGCGTATGTAAAACGGTTTTCATTCCTCTTTCATTAGTTATTTTATAAAAGAAATGCAAAATGGTTTCCGTTTTTAATATTGATTCGACTGTCTGACCACAGTGGTTTATATCTTGTTCGTTTTACAGTGTGGAGCTTAGCAAACTGAAGAATTGTATTGCCGAAGTGATGAAGAACTGTGCTGGAGATTTAATGACCGAAAGCCAGATCAGAGATATCATTGACAAGACCGTAACGGAAGAACAGCAGTGTCTGGATGGTTCTATGGAAATTCCAACTATGCCGCCAAGCGGATCGATTTGTTCAGCATCATTTAGCAGTAATGCAGAAACTTGCGTTCGATCTTTTCACCAAATGTTTGCCAAGGACAAATCAGATCCCGCTCTTTGCTCGTAAGTTTAACTAATATGCGTCCAAAGTCTTTAATTAAAGGGCGGGGGGGGGGGGGGAGAAGGGAAGGGAGGGGTGTGGACTAAAGAAGCTCGATACTCGTTCTTGCAGCTTTATTAAGGTTTTGAGATACACTATGATCGCACCATCCCAGAAATATATTTAAAGTAGGCTAAAAAAGGTGTGTGGAGGGTTATGGGCACTCTAAGTTAGCCCTTTATGATGGCTCCTGGTATTTATAAATGCTAATCACATATTTAACCCGCTGGTGATTTTGTTAATAGTGTCTCCCTTAGTATGCTCAGGAACACAACACGATTACTCGGACGGGGCCTAGTGAACGCTTTTCTCTCTCCAATTAGTATGCAACAATGTACTCTTTAGAGGACTTTCATTTTTTTTTTCTATAATAAGTTTTTTTTAATTTTTTATTTTTTTTATTTTTTTATGAACGTTGTTAATTTTTTATTTTCCAGGCAATATGCTACATCAAAGAGGTGTTTAAAGAACCTGGTCGATTCTGACTGCAACTTCCCCGCCCTGGCCAAGGAAGTGTTGGAATTGGGTTACGGTGACTACAATCCTTTTTGCGCAAACAATCGGGACCCTGGGGCGACCGGAAATGATCAGTGCTATGGCGTGCAGGATAAGAGCGGTGATGCATTGAAATATTTCAATGCAGCCGCTGGAATCAAGTCCAGTGTGCTGCAGACGCTGGTGTTTGCTTCCTTTTTGTTTTTTTTCTTTTTTAAAGTTTAAAAGGCTTTAGCCCCATGTTTGTCTTGAGTTACAGAATAGTTTCTAGACTTAAAAATTTTAAGATGAAATTTGACACTTGTAAGAGGCGTGTTTCGGTAACTTGTTTCCGTTTTTGTTTGTTTGTTTGTTTGTTTTTATATTGGTTTGTTTTCTTTCGTTCGTCGAGGAATACATCGTCCTTTATAGTCGGGGTTCTAGCATGACAAATATCACAGATAATGTTTGCTTAGCTAATTTTCATAATGTTGATGTCACAATAAACTTAGCTTAAGAAAAGGGAGCCAAAAGCATACATTTCCCTCGTATCAACATCGCAAAAAAAAAAACAACAACAAAAAAAACTACTTCTGATAAAACTGTAGCGGAAAAATCATTTACCCGTCTCGTTTTTCGGACTTCCAAAAACCCTTCGCCACATATTTCCTTTGCCACACAGCGATTCCCATAGTTCGTGAGCGTGTAAAAGGATCTCTTGTTGCGGCGTTTAGATCACCCCTAATGAAGGCACTAGACAGGAGTGTCGAAACGTTGGGTCTATGAATTGTAACTTCTCGGTTACATTCATTAAATCCGAAAGCTAGACTAGCATCAAAGCATGTCCGAACAGGATCAAGATGATTTTCTTCAACATTTTATTGCCTTTGGCAAGTTAATTCACATTTAGAATCAATTCTCAGTGTATTATTGTTGTGTTGTGTTTTGGGTGCAAAGCATTCGCAAGTTGGGAGTATAATTTAAACACCCAGAGGCCATCACTACGTGCAAAGAAATAGACAATAGTTTGCTGTTCAATTTGTCGATTTGATATTTGTTTCATCCGTATGTAAGTGTTGGCTGGCTTCTCTCCAGTCTTACCGATGATTCGGATGTTTCCGATGGCTTCTTTTCCAGTATTTCTATCGAGTGTCAAGTTTTCTTCCGCAGATTATGTATAATGTTCGTCGCCGCGAAGCATGGAGGTTGCATGTCTACCAAACTCGCTCAGTTGCGTATTTCGTTTACAAAGTGGGGTGAGTTACTTTCGTTGATCCGCCGGCATTTTGAAATTTTACTTTGTTGTTAAAATATTTCCTAAGACCTTTCTTAAAGCGCTCGAGAGATCCCAAATCTGAATAATATTTTCCCCTTTCTTTTCGGTTGGTGATTTCTAGGAAACGAGTCTTAAAATCGCATGTTTGAACAATCATTTCTTAAAGCACTCGAGAAATAGCACACCGGAGCAATAATTTCCCCCTTCTTTTCAGTCAGTGATTTCTAGGTAACAAGTCTTAAAATCGCTTTTCTGGACAATCGTGTCGCACGTTTCAACTTAAATTAAGCTGGTTTTTTTAGCTCATTCATGCTGAAAGCGATGAACGAGGTGTTGTGGTGGAGCAGATGTTGACGGAAGTTGTCGAACGTGGACGGAAGTTGCATCGTGGACCGTAAACGGAAGTAGTCTAGTATGCTACCCCTCCCCACCCAGTGAAAGTCAAAATTAATTTCGATGAAACTCAGAAACTCACGTGGAAAGAAGTAAAATGTTTGTATCGTTTAATAAAAAATAATAACCTCAAATCATGTTTCCAAACTGCCGAAAATGCAACTTAACCCGTAGCGGGTTCATTTCAACACGGAAGAGCGGCCAAGATAGACTTGGTACAAAATGCAGACTGAGAATTTATACTGTTTTTTCGTCTGATACGTGATAACATGTCATCTTACAACCTACCGAGCGTCACGCAATCGCTTTTCCACGATCATCTTTCACGATTATTTGCACTGTTGTGGATATTCCTTGCCCGTTTCTTAATTACAATCGTTCATAATTTAAAGCTTTCATATAGTCTTCTCACTTTGCACGCGAGTTGTTGGTGTGATGTCTGTAGAGAATTTACCAATTTAATAAATGTAGATGTGATGTAAACGATATGTCACTATTGAACATTTAAGACGCGCAATATTCGAGAAAGAGTTGACAGCTTTCCATGTGGTCCATATGTTTCATCTTTTTAACCGATACGTGTTCATTTTGTTGACAAAAACGCGGACCGAGACCAAAACTGTTCTTGTTCGATACATTTTCCACTCTCGGGGGTGTACACACACTGATTTTCGCATATGTGCCTCATATTGTTTTTGGCTTACATTAGAAACCGACGAATTCTTTGGTGACTACGCAAATATTAAAAGGGGGAAATCAGACCATATGAAGGCTTGAAATTCTATTTCTGTCTGGGACATCATTTCTCACGTTTTACCTCACTCATCTTTATTTAATCCAGCATGCAATTTATTACCTACGAAAAAGAGTGTTTTAATGGCACTCTCTTGGATCTATGAACTGTTGGTAAAATTACATGAAATAAAGGTACCTGTGGAAAGCGTAGAGTATTTTTTTCTAAGAATTATAAAGTGTCATCTCTTTCCGCGAAGTGCGCAATAAAACTTTGCATGATGACTTGAAAAACAATTAAAAGAAACATAAAGAGCAGTTTCCTTACAAAAGCTTCCCAGGAAATACGATTCTACGAAAGTTGTGGCTTCATATTATTTCAAGTGAGGGAGGAATTTTCGTTCAACAAAAGATCATCGTGTATTCAGTGCTCACTTCGAAAGGGCTAAAATCACACTAAACAACGAACCAACTGTGGCTTCTCTGTAAAAACCTTACTCTAAGGTGGCAATAACACTTAGAGGATCCCTTTTTCGCGTCGAAGAGATTGAAAAAAAAACCGAGCCAATATACGTGGAGGAAAATCGAGACAGTATGGTCAATGAACTACTTGCTCTGCACAGACAGGTGAGTATTTAACAATTTTTCGCCTTAGTGGAGGTAAATATCCACTACTTTCACCAACACTGAGGTAAATTATTTATTTAGTACATACGAAACAGAAACCAAACTTCTTTAATTTCTGTCGATAGACCGAAAAGTGGCGGTGGGAAATTTAACTCTTTATCGGGAGCCTAAAAGAGCCGGAATCCGGCCAGACTGCGTCCCTTTTACGCGTCGAAGAGATTGAGAAAAACCGAGCCAATGTGTGCGGAGGAAAATCGAGACGGTATCGTCAATGAACCCTGTCACGCAGACCAAATAATCACACTTAGAAAATAACTTGCAACACTTGAATTTCGTGATCTAATGATGTTGCATTTAGATAAATATACTCGTTTAACGCCACAAGATGAATACACATCATCTATTTGCCAGATAGACGAATATTTAGATGTAAAGATGTGTAGATGTGATTCAACTGAAAGTGGGTAATTTGAAATATAAATATCTAAGTTCATTTATAACAACAACAAGGGTAACGACAAAGCTAAATGAAACAGAAACGAACTTGTAACGTACCAAGGTCCTTCAGTAAAACTAAAAAGCAACACGGCGCTACCAAAAACTAACGAAACGACTTCTCTCTAGTCTTTAAGATGATTTCGATGTTTTCCATGGCTTTGCTTCTAGTTTTTCCATCGAGTGTCTAGTTTTCTTTAGCAGATTATGTACATTGTTTGTCGTCACGGTGCATCGAGGTTGCATGTTTACCAAACTCGCTCAGTTGCGTATTTCGTTCACAAATTATTTTTTAGATTAACATAGTTCCTCAGACCTTTCCTAAAGCACTCGAGAGATCGCAAATCGGAGTAATAATTTCCCCTTTCTTTTTGGTGAGTGATTTCTAGGAAACGGGTCATGAAGTCGCATGTCTGGACAATGGCGTCGCACGTTTTTCATTTAATTTAGCCGTTTATTTTAATTCAGCACGCAATTTATTATCTTCACAAATATTTTTTTGATACCACTGTCTTAGATTTACCATTATAGGTTAAATTAACCGAAGTAAAGGTAACTTTTAAAGGCATAGAGTATTTTTTCCACGAATCCCAAAAGCGTCATGTCTTTCCGCGATGTTCGCGTAGCTCTTTTCTTGATGACTGCAAAAACAATTCTAAGAAAGATATAAAGTAATTTTTGGTGATAGTCTCCCTGTAAATAAGCAAAATGTGAATAATGTTCGTCCTCCTTGAACGTCGAGGTTGCATGTTTACCTAACTCAGTCGTTCAGTTGCGTATTTCGACCATAAAGTTGGCTGAGTCGCATTTGTTGATCCACCGGCATTTTAATTTCACTTTCTTGGTAGCATATGTCATTCAGATCTTTCTCAAAACACTCAAGAGACGCGAATTAGAGTAACATTTATCCCCTTCTTTTCGGTCAGTGATTTCTAAGAAACGAGTGAATGTCTGGAAAACCATTTCTCACGTTTTACCTCACTCACTTTTATTTAATCCAGCTAACAATTTATTAGCTTCGAAGAAGAGTGTTTTAATGGCATTGTCTTGGATATAAGAAACTGTTGGTAAAATTAACTGAAGTAAAGGTAGAATCCTGAAGCGTGATATTAAAGCGTAATAGCACTGTCTTGGGTCTTTATTTAATCCAGCATGCAATGTATTAGCTTCGAAGAAGCGTGTTTTAATGTCACTGTCTTGGATCTAAGAACTGTTGGTAAAATTAACTGAAGTAAAGGTACCTCTGGAAAGCATAGTGTATTTTTTTCTGAGAATCTTGAAGCGTGACATTAAAGCGTAATGGCACGGCCTTGGGTCTTTATTTAATCAAGCATGCAATTTATTAGCTTCTAAGAAGAGTGTTTTAATGTCACTGTCTTGGATCTAAGAGCTGTTGGTAAAATTAACTGAAGCAAAGGTACCTCTGGAAAGCCTAGAGTATTTTTCTGGGAATCCTAAAACGTGATCTTATGTTGTTGTGTGTAGATAAATACTACACGTTTAATGCCACAAATGAATGCACATTTGATCTATTTGCCAGATAGACGAATATTTAGATGTAAAGATGTGTAGATGTGACTAGACTTAGAACGGTAATTTGAAATTTAAGTATCTAAGTGCAAATATAACAACAACAAGAATAACGACAAAGCAGTACATGAAATAGGAACAAACTTGTGGCATAACAAGGTCCAGCAGTAAAACTCAAAAGCAAAACGACGCAAGCAACAATTAACGAAACGACTTACTTAGTTGAAATAAATTAGCAATGAGAATTATCTAAATAAAACAACAAGCATACTGGCGAGAAATAAATCACTACCACAGTAACTTGATTTTTACATATCCTCACGCAGAAACGCGAACTGAATGGAATGGTTGAAACAGAGCATCACAATAGTAGTTGAATAGAAAGAAAAACAAGGAACAAGCTTAAGGATCAGTTGGATGCAATTGGATCCAGACAGAGAAGATGGAACCAGGTAATATGCTCTAATATTTTCACATTTTTTCCTCATTTTTTCTGCACGATTGCGGATCCTTCTAAATACGAGAGGGAAACTTATTTTTCAGGTTTATTACGGTTGTAGTCAGCTTATTTGAGGACTATTGAAATTCTTCGTGAATATTTTGTAATATTTTCTCGTAATATTTCGAGATCACTAATTGATAACGATTTCACAATAAAACTTAGCTTACGCAAGGAGACAAGTTTATCGATATATTTTATAGCCGATTTCATGGTTGGTTCCAAAAAAGAAAAAAATGAAAAAAAAATTATTTCATTCAAAGTCATGTTGGTCATAAGAGCGTCGATGGACTGAAATATTATAGCGCAGCCGCTAGAATTAAGCTCGGCGCACCGCAGTTGCTGATGTTCGCTTCTTCTTTTGTTTTTCTCGTTGTTGTCGTTGTTGTTGTTGTTTTTAATTTAGAAGGCCTAATCACCTTGTTTGCTTTGATTTACAG